GTGAGAAGAGGGTGAGTCAACGATAGGTTTAAGATGCGTTTTCGTTACCTCGGGGTTGAGGAAAAGCTTTTTTTACAATGCGGATACATGGTAAAGGAAATTTCATTGCCTCCATGCGGTGCGACCTTTGAACCCCTTTTGAGAGGGGGTGGAACAGCAGACTTTGAAACAATGGCAAAAAAACGGGATTAAATCTTTTCCTACATCAACTTTTGTTTTATTTAGTGATAAATTTTTCGACTTCCTGGTGGAGGGCATTGCAGGAGGACAAACTTACATGGAAACGGGAGATGTATGCATAAATTTTTAAGGAAGGATGTGGCTAAACTCGCTTTTATTACCCATAGCGAAAATTAGTCCAACTTTACTCCATTATTTTTTACCATCCAGGTGTCAACTTGCCCTCTCATGCGATCGTGTGATAGCTTAGCGCCTACCATTCGAGGTGCGCAGGCGTTGAAAGTGCGGTCGCATCACCTTTCTTCGGCCTTTTTTTCTCACGAGATGGTTCGGCGATGCTCAATTGGCTTTCACAAGGGCAGAGAGGTGATACCCTCCCCACTGCTAGCACCGATTCGCGCCCCATCTCGGGAGGAGAAGTATGAGCAGAGAACAGTGGAGTTATTCTCTTGCGCCTTTTGAACTCGTCCAAGAGGCGACTCATTTAGTGCATAACACAAACAAAAATTCAAGCAAAAACAAATACACACACAGAGCGATAGAGGGAGAGCGAGAGAAAGGGAATGCAGGAGGAGAGGAAGTGCGAGTTCACATTGCCAATGGCGTTGTGTCACACCTGGCAAAGAGACCTGATTTGGGTGATTGATGGTAAGTGAATCTGTCTACTTCAGGCTGATCACTGGTCCCAACTTTAAAGGCATACAGCATGGTAAGCTTGCAAAAGGTCTACTGAAACAGCACTGCAACCTCATTCTTCCCACACGCAGTTCAACTGACATGCAAGGGGGGATGGAAGTGCGTACCAACTGAACCCCCCTTTCACACGCCACTTTTGCCCAGGTCAGATGTGGCTGTCGAAAGAGGTCTAAGACCTGGTCACTCACCTTTTACACATCATGCTCCAACCATTCTCTACTGTGACCCTACATCAAGGATTAGTGACCTCACGCCTGTCACTTATCGATTGCAATCGATCTCACCTCACTCGGTACCGCCTTCCTGGAGTACTGCTCTGGGCGCACCGGCGAGTCGAGCTCCATGCCTGAGTTGACTTCACCCAGCAGAGGCGTTACTTTTTTACTCATGAATAGCCAACGCCAATTTATGCTCAATTGGCGTCATTTTTTTTTTTCTTTTGCAAAGATGGAAGGCATAATCTTATCAACTTTCGGATCTCTTGCGCTCACGCTCTCGCGCGCGCACGCACACACACACAATGCGTGCCATCGGCGGTTCGATTACAGCTTCGTAGATCAAATTGCCAGATTTGAAGGCTCCACTGCCACAGCCACCGTCCCAGTGGATTAATCACCAAGTCGCATAGTACTGCGCAATCCCTGGGACAGGGTGCACACACGTAGTCACGCTAAGGGTGAAGAGACGAATTACTTTAATTAAAAATTTCGGTAATTTTTTTGTGTGTGCATGTAGATGCCAGCTCCAAGCGCAACAAATCTGTGCCTGGCATTTGGGAAAGTGCGTGGGCTCTGTTACTTTGTGTGCATGATTCATGTTTAATGCAAATTTGGATGTGAATGTCAAAATGAGGAGGAAAGGAGTAGTCTTGAGCTTACCACCTTTTGAATGATAGCGTGATGTTGAAAAAAAGGGTAACTACTGCAGTCATCGCTTGACTGCCTCAGTCTTGTGTCAGCATGTCAGTTGTGTCACTCAAGTCCAGCAGCAGAGCCTTTTGCTGCCAGTTGACGGAAGTGGCTGAGACGATTGTTGAGGGTAACATGGTGACCTTGAGTGGATTGAACTGTGCCTCCTTCCTGAGTTCACCTTGACGAGATTGGGAGGCGTATGGGGGCGGTCTCGAGAGTGTCCCAATCCCCTGCCCCAGTCATCGAGGCTTGACACGTTTGACAACTAGGTACACGAAAAAAAACATTACCCCCGTGTCAGTCATCTTCCCCTTAAAACTGCCTGTCAAACAGGCAAGTTGAATGGCTTCACAGAGCATCTGTTGTTGGCGAACCAGAAATGCACTCCTGTCATTCACTAACTTTCCTAAATTTCAATTTTCATGGATATTCTGCAGGTCGCTCCCAAGTGCTTATTTGAATTTCATTTCATTTCATGCTGCACCGCTTTGCTGCAGCATGTAGGAATGGCGTAAAGACGATGGAGTTGGGAGTGTGGACTGCTGCATTCTTCCACAAAAGTTGGCGCCTGAGTGCCTCCTGGGGAAGAGGTAAAACAAGCTGGAGGCACCCTCGTTACTCTCTCTCTCTCTCTTGTAGATGATGTTTTTAGTTTACTTTTATTCTCTTCCCTCCAATGTAAATGGCTGGTAGCGGAGCCTCTTTTTTGAAAATTTCTTGTTCAGTCGTCTCAAAAAGACATCCAAAATGACCTCTTGGGATTTGGGATTGTCAGAGTTGGATGATTGCCAGTCTATTTGCACGCGACATCTAAAAATAAAGTTGAAGAGATTTTATAGTCACTTTATAAAACAACTGAAAATCCGTTTTCGAAATGGCAAAAATGTCCGCCTCTCGCATTATTCACTGTGCTGTCGCTCTCGGACGAACAGCAGACGGCTGCCAATGAGGGTGAGAGACTATCAAATAGGTGCTGGTCGCCTCTCACAGACTGCGCAATGTATGCGCACCACTCCGAAGGATGACTAATTGGATGGAGGATTGACTTTTGTAGGAGTTGAATTGCCTTGAAATTTGTATTGCACCTTAAGGCAGATGTACTTTAGAGGCCGACAGCCCAGTTTGAATGCTACCGACTCCTGCAATTGTGCTGCGCTGGTCCCTCCACTCTTACCTCCTCCTCCTCCTCATCCTCCTCCTCCTGCTCCTCCTGCTCCTCCTCCTCCTGCTCCTCCTCCTCCTGCTCCTGCTCCTCCTCCTCCTCCTGCTCCTCCTGCTCCTCCTGCTCCTCCTGCTCCTCCATCTCCTCCTCCTCCTCCTCCTCCTCCTCCTCCTCCTTCGTACAACGAAGTGCTCTTGCTCAAACATTAAATTCAATTCTGACTTGTAAAGAACTCTCTATTGTTTGCACCATAGTTACAAAAAAAAATGGCGTCATTGCGATATTCGCTTTACTTGTCCAGTGATTTTTCCACCAAGTGATAAATATCACTTATTTTCCCATTAGGCAGACGGTCACACTATCTTATGCTAAACAGAGTGGACAACTGGCAAGTGGAAGTGGGCTAGCAACGGAAGTGAAGAAAGACGTTAGCTTACCTTTTTTTGTCTCATGGGAGTGAAAAAGTGCTACCGTAGAATTGTTATGTGTTTACCAGACAAAATAATGAATGGCGTCTTTTCCATCCTTATCGTACCCTTAATCGTGAAGGCGAATGGGGAAGGCGGGGGCGAGGGCAGGGCAGGGCAGGGCAATGGGGAGTGGGAAGGAGAAGGCGGTACCTAAGATTTCCGGCAAATAGAAGACAAATGAGGATTGGTAATTTACGTGAGGAGGCTAGCAAACTCAAGTGTATCCTCTACTTTACACCACCTCCATTAATTTCCTCTTCTAAGTAACTTAATGGCTTCCGCCTTCTCCTTTAGCTACCAACAACTACTATTTATAGACACTCCTAAAAATAGACGGAAGAAGTTTTTAACGCCTAGCTAACAACGTTCTGGTGTAGCAAAGCTAGGCACGATCTTGTATTACAATTATCAGACGACTGGAAGGTCTGACCATAAGATTGAATTTGTTGTATGACGTCTCCCTAATGAGGCTGATTTCATCAAAGAGACATTTAATTTCTTGTCACAGACTCCGTAGACGGTAAGCAAGGATGCCATCTACAGGCGCAATTGTAAGGACTACCTTACAAAAGTAATCAGTCCACTCTGAAGTTAGCATTGTTTTAACCTCCTCCTCCTCCTCCTCCTCCTCCTTTTCTTCTTCCACCTAAATCCTAAACATTGACTTACTTTAAAGCCCATTCCAATTATTCTCCCTTTGAGTGCTCTCTGTAGGACGTATCTCTCCCTTACCATTCTCACCACCAGCAGTGCACAAACGAACGGCCTTTTAACCGCCTTACCAGTCTTCACTGTCACCCTCTTTACGAGTTCTCTGCATCACTTGTCACGGTGGAGAAATAAAAACTCCCAAGACCAGATAGTCTAGGCTTTCTCTTGATGCGGTGGGACTAATAGTAGGCATGACAATGTGAATTTACATCGGAGTCGTAAACGTGCCAAAGGAGGCTATCATTTGCAGTCATTTGTCTGCCCTATCCCGTAAACTATCCACCCTTGAGGTAGACTAAACGCTCTCACCAATGGTTGATGCATGCAAATTGTGATCCAATTGGATACTAACTTGAATCTATCATTTATTTTAAGTCATTTACAAACAGTAAACCCTCAGTTAGTCATGATTAGACACCTCAAGCCCTCCCTCTGACGGAGGAGTGACTAATAAAGTTGGCGTTAGTCAGCAACTTGAAGGCAATAGCTACAGTTGTCGTGGCGAGAACCACAGGTGTATGCATTTTTAGTCAAAATTACTTTAATCCATTTTCACATTTTTAAATATTTTAGTATTTTCGCTTCTTTGTTTTTCTTTTTTAGTTTGACAGTTACGTCAATGATGTCAATGAATGCGGCGGCTCACACTTTGAGCCAATAGAAAGGCGGGAAAGTGGGGACGGGGAGAGGTGGAAGCGGAGGAAAGGCATCCGCACATACCATCCACCCCACGAGAGGACAAAGGTTAAGTGGACAATCTCAAGACACCTTTTTTACTTTTTTTTCCCCTCCCTCCTGCTTTTTTAGCACCACTTTTGATCAGTTTGAAGACGTTGACTCAACAAAGCCAAGGCACTCAGCATTTGTCCTTTAACTGAAAGTACAAATAAGATTGCAATTTACATTGGTCAATTAATTAATAAAATCTGTGGGAATTTTGTGGTCTAGGTGTGAGTATACTTGCCTTGTACTTTTCCTACAAATTCGGTAAGAAATTTTGTCCCTACGACGACTCGAGGACTCGCCTAAGGCACAGGGAATGAGGTGGTAGCAACCAAAACCCCTACAAAGGCCAAATTTGTCCTTCTAACACACACACACACAAAATATTATGCCAATTACCCACAAACACAAGACTTTCGGTGTAAAGTCTGCACTTCTTGCCACTTTTTATGACGCCAATTACTTTTCTCTCAGTGTTTACGTTGTCCTTAACAGAAAAATAAACTTTTCATTTTTGATTGGATAATGGGAGTAATGTCGGAGGGCACCGACAGTACAACCGGTGTTCTAATTCTCTGACCACTTTGGGTGCCTTTATAGCCCGTAAAATTAGGAAATGAGCTACACCAAATCCCTCATTCTTCATCGCTCCCATATTCCTCCTCACCAAATGGCATTTTTTTTCTCCCCCTGAGGGGCACAATAAAAATGGAAGATGCTTTGTTACTCCCTAGAAATCATAAATATTCCGTGCTTTTCAACACTGTGCAGTTGCACTATTGAAGCTATTTTAGCACAAATTTAGAATAAAAGTAATCACGAGGCTTTCATGAGTTCCACACATGAGAAAAACTCAAACAAAAAAACACCACTTCAGTACTTCAGCACCTTCACACCTCTACTGGTGAAAGAACAAACGTGACATTTGCCCGCGGACAAAAGGTCCAGCCGTCTCCACTGCAGATGACAAATGATCTGACAGGCCGAGCCACCTCCACCCCGCCTCCAATGCAGCCTTAAGTGAGTCTCAAGCCTTTTGTGCACACCGTCAAACACCTCACAAAGCGTCTCCGTTGACAGCCATTTCCAAATAGCCGATGTGAAAAGCGCAGCGAGAGGATGGTTGAATGTGTGATGCTGGAGAAAGGCCACCCATCTACAATTCCCAACCGAACAAAGAAAAGCTCACCAGCATCACCAAAAAGAATTATTGTCTTTAAAGCAAGCATTATGTGTAGTAGTGGGATAAAAGTTTCGACTTTGTTTTAAATACATTTTGGAGTTAGCAAGGAATGAGGATAAGCGAATGAATGGAGATGATGATTAGTCAATGAATGGGCGCTTAGACTATTTCCTTAGGCGGAGACAATGGAGACGGTGGTATCCTCGCCCGTGGGGATGAATGTGAAGATGTCGCCCTCTGACGCCAAGTAGGCGACCGGAGGATAGGTGTTGGAGACACAGAAATGATCAATTTTTCGTGCACCTGGTTTGGTAAGCCTCTGCAAGCTAACACCCTTCTGTCCCTCGGTCCATGTTATCATTGCTAGACTCCTCTGTTCGGCGTCAATTGTGAGTAGCCGTTGAGAATCCAGTGCGAATACAGAGCCCGCAGAAAACACCTCAAAGCTCCAGGAGGTCACATGAAGCCATTCTTTGGGACTGCGCACAACTTCGCCTTCTGACTCGCATTCAGGTTGTACGCCGGGAAAGGCGACTATTCGTCGAACCATCCGCTTTGTCTCGCTGTCCCACCGACTGACGGAAGCCCAACACTGACCTTGGACGCACGACCTAGTTATCCAATCAGGACAGTAGGAGGTGGAACCTTTTCGCAAAGTGACAGAGAAAATCCGACGCTCAAAATGAGGCGTTAGTTTGCATATTTGTGCGTTGCTGGGGTGATTAGCATCATCATCGATTGAACGTGATGTGCAGCCCAAAAGAATATTTCCATCTGTGTCAACATCAATTGCGAGATACCGTTGATAGAGGTATTTTCGTGTCTGAGCTATCAACCTGCCGTCGATGGAGTAGCAAGCAAGGATGTGAATCAGGGAGGCTTCCAGTTGCGCTGTACCAATGACGTAGAACTCACTCGTTTCGTTGCGACAAGACTTTAGGCAGACTTTAGAGGGAATTAAATCGACGGACTCAGCTGTTTTCAAGTGGATTTTTGTGACTGGATACGGTCTCTCGAGTGAGGTATTTAACAAAGCGATTTCAAATTTAAAGAGGAATGGGAGACTCTGCACACCAAAATAGAGATAAATACTGTCTGTAGCCATGCAAGAAATGACAAAATCCGAAGGACTAATAGTGTAGGCTGAATTTTGAAGTTCATTAAGAATGGAAGTGACAAGAGTGCCTTTATCAATAAAAGGTACGATATGACAGAGCCCGGATTTTCCAGATTCCACCTGATTCTCCAATTCTCCCAGACTTAGAAGTCCAAAGTGATCGTTTATGTGAGCAACGTCATTGTCATCAACAAGGTCGTGCTTCAGTTGAGAATTTTTTGACGCAAATAGAGGAGACTCATGCGATGATCCATTGGGCACATACATGCTAACAATATTTGTAATTCTATCCTTGAGGCTTCTGACCATTGGACGCCTCTGTGGCACCACCATGGGTGCATCCTCCGTAATTTCGCGGTAGACCGGCTCTCTTAATCCAGAGATCAACATCAGAAATGCTGAAATGCGTCTCCCCACCATCAGTTGAAGCTATTTACTCAAGTTTTGTTAAA